AGGAATCCTGCTGTCCCCCATCCTGGCCGCATGATTGGGCCTGCTAAGCTGAGGCACAGTGAGCATGAGTTCAGAGCCAGGGGCATGGAGAGAATGCTCTCTGTTGTATAAGCAACCTTGTTTTGCCATTTGTCGAGCAGAATTTGCTGCAGGCAAACGACCCATGTTATCACCTACTTCACTTCCTTAAATTCTTTATTAACTTCATTAGCTCTGTCTTACTCCTGCTGCAGTCAAGCAAGGGTAGTTAGAAGTCTTGTAAATTAAAATACTCCTCCTGTCTGGAGAAGATAGAAATGAAAGCCACGGACCACGCTGAGGGGGCAGGAGACGCTCCGCTTGCCTTCCATGTCCTCCGAAGCAGGTCTTCAAGGACTTGCTTTAGGGGCACACAGAATGAATAGCCAGACCACCTGATATGCCCATAATAACTGTTAGTACTAAGCCATGTTCCAGCATAACTGATTTTTGTTTTATCTGCACACGTGGAGAACATCAGACTTAGTTCTAAAATGACCCAGATTTCGCATAGCTGTGGCCATCCAGACCTCTGTCTTCAGTGGGCAGGAGAGCTCAGCCTCTCTAGACACCTAGTGACTGGCCCTGAGGCTGGGGCCATTTTTATAGGAGCCTCCCAGGCTCTGCCTCTAGAGGTCATCATGCTTTCCAGATGCCTAGAGCCCACACCCATGTTTCGAAGGGGCCAAGGAATCCAGCACTCCAGCCTTCAGGGCAACTTAATGCCCCTTCTTGCTGAAGAAATCCCCACCCTAACGGGATGAAATGGGCTAAGGAATAACTCTTGTTCTTCGTGACCAGGTACCCGGAAATGCCGCTCCTGTAGGAGGCACTGGCCTAGCTACTCTCAAATCATTATAGCCTCGGAAAGTAATTTACAAATCTCAGATGGTGTCAAGTTCCCTGTCTGAGACTGAGGAGACTGGCGAAGACTGAGACCATGGGTTCCAGATGATCCAGTTTAACAGACATTAAGTAGCTGTCTATAGCGGGCATGGGGTTAGTTCCTGAAGATACAGAGGTAACAAGACATAGCCCCTGCCTAAAGAAACTTGCTCTGCCTAGCACAAAGGACGAACCCCAATGCAGATAATCTCACAAACAGGCTGCTGGGTGGTCCACATTTCTGCCAGAACCTATGAATGAGACCAGAATTGAGAGGCAACCTAGAGGTTGAGACCTACATAATGTTAACAACTGCCCCAGAACATATGTCCTGTTCATTCCTATCTGCATACTTGGCCCTTTGTGGGCAGCTTCATTAAAAGACTAGATTCTCCCTCCCTGGCCTGCCTCCCACCCCCAACCCCCCCACCCCCACCCCCACCACCCGCAGCCTGTCGTGCTCACGGCATCCTGGCCTCCACCTTTCAGATTTGGGTGCCTAGTTGTGTATAATGGCTTTTGAGACCTGTGGAAATCTTCAGCAGCACCACCAGCCTCAGGACTGGTCAAGAGAATTGAGAAAGCAAGAATTCCTGAAATAGAGTCTTTCTTTCTCTCTATCTTTTATCTGGCCGCAGGGCCGGCAGGACAGGTTTCTGCAAGTTTCACTATTAAGCTGCTTTCCCTCCAGCAGGCTGCAGAGCAGTCTGGGAGAGCGGGAAGCAGATTAAATTAATCTCAGAGTGCTGAGCTTGGCAGGGGGTGAGATTGTGTTTGGTCATTCCAGAAATAGCCCAGACTCCTTTGTTCCTAAAGCAGATGAGGAGGCCTTGGCCCACAAGAGGACTGCCAAGCAGTCGCAAACCTTTGTATATTCGTAAATTGCCCTCCCTCTGTCCCTTGGCTTCTGTCTCTTCTGCAACCTTCCCGTTATAATGGGCAGTGATAGCTTCTAACGTTAGGGTGAAAGCGTTTATTTGTTTATTCTCCTGCTTAATAAGATCCTTCTTTTAAAACTGAGATTCCAAGAAGTCTTTGCTTCCCAGAGTTAAGCATTGGCTCTGTAGACTCGGAGCTACTGAAATGTATCTGTTCACTACTGTATTTGGCATGAGGGAAGAACCTGACCTCAGGAGTTCTGCCTGCACCGCCCTGTCTTGCAGTGCTCCAGTGCACATTAATAGACACTGCTCTGAGACACAAGAGGGGAGGGAGTAGTGGTGGGGGAGGGAGAAGAATCAGGCAAGGATGGAGAGATCCCATAAAAGGAGACAAGGTATCAGAAGCAGTTTGGTGATGAATATCTAAAGAGCCAGAGGTGGGAGTGACCCCAGATTTCAAGGAGAAAGGAGTACTTCCATAGAGGAATTATAAACCAAAACAAGGGAGTCCTGTGTCTCCCTCCTCCTGTGCTCTCAGTCAGGAATGTGACCATGTTTCAAAGAAACAAAACAAAAATCTTAACCAACCCCATCTCCTAGATCAGTGCGCTTGAGTTTTCTGTTGGTGTTGACTGGGTCCCTGACTTTAAAGGATGTAAACAGAGAACACCTAGGATGATGATGAACTTGCAGCCTTTCGTGGAAGGAATAGAAGAAGCAGAGGGCGTTTGGCCTGAAGGAGAGAAGATAGAGTGTGGTCGTGAGTGATACACTTTCTGACACCAAGAGCATTTCGTGAGCACTTCTAGTGTGCTGCTCTGTCGGGGGATTATCTCCTGCGGTCCTCATAGCCACCCGACACTGTAGGGTAGGTGGTGTTACTGTCCTTAGTTTACAGCTAGTGAGAGAGCTAGTCTCAGAGAGACCACGACTTGCCCCTAATTCGTTTGAGTGATAAAGACCAGTCTCTAAGCCAGGTCTAAGCCTGTGTTTTTGCCCATTATACAAATGCAATTGGCCTTCTTCTGTATGGTCTTAAGGAGCAGAAAGGTGGGCAGAAATTAACAGGAGATAGATTTTTGGCTCACAGGAAGGAAGAACTTTTTAACCAAACTGCCCGCACTGGGAACAAACCACTCCAGAGGTAGTCCGTTCCTTTGCCATCAGAGCTGTTCAGACAGATGCCCCAAAACCACTGGGTGGTGGGAGTATTACAGAGAAGGTTCAAGCATTGGTAAGGGAATGAACCAGACTTTCTAATCTTGTGATTCTGTAATCTGTAGTTCATTAGAGAAGTCAGGAAATATTTTACTAGGCTCTAATTAGATGTAAATTGCCACCATCTAAAAATAAAATGTTAACTTCTATAGTCAGCTCTATATTTTAACAGCATTTATTCATCAGTTTAAGTAAAACACATGTTTTCTTGCCTATTTAAAATATTAAATAAAAGAGAAAATGTAATTCTGTAAATGCAGGCTTAAATATTTAACATTTAAAAGCAGAGAAATTTAATTTGATTGATTTGATTTGATTGACCTGGTCCTCCTAGTTATTCATGGACAGTTAAGAAAAGATTTTTTGATGTAGTTCCCAAACACCTTTATAGTTTAGAGAGGCGAATTCCAAAGGGGAAAATTTTCATCTCTACAGTAAAGTCAAAGCTGTCAAAAACTTTTTTTTCAAATGACTATAAACACTTAAAGGAATTTTTCCAACTTGCTGGTGTGAATGTGTCTCAAACAAAAATTAATTTTTAAAAATCTCATCATTCATATCTCTTGGATGGCTCGTGCTCAGCTCTGAAATTTATTATAATTGAATTACTGAGGTCTGATTAGTGAAGGCGTGTGTCATAGTCGATTCTTTTCTATCAAAAAAGATTTATCCTGGTTTATTGAGCATTAGGACTGCTAGTAATAAAATGAACCAGCTATAAACCTTTTCTAAAATGTGTTTATTTTTATTTCTTATGCTACATATCAGACTCTGAATTCCTGTTCCATGGTGAGATTTTCAGTGTTTAACATGAAATAAGAGCATCGACATACAGAGTTTTATGCAAAAATTACTAAACTAATGTACTGAAATCGTTTTTCAAGAATGTAACACACACAGGCAGGGTTATGCTTAATATCAATAGGCTTGTTGTAATAAAGAAATGGCTTTTTCTTTCTCTTTTTTTCTTTTTTAGGAAGTTCCAGGTTACAGGCAACTTCACCTCACACAGTTGGTGTGGAATGGGCCTGGGAAGGGGGCGGGGAGGGGGCTGCAAAAGTGAGGTAATGAGGGTCTGTACCTCTAAATCATGGAGCAGCTCAGGAGAGGGGCCGACGAAGTGGAGAAGAGGAGGGTCCCCTGTGGTGTGTTCTGTGTAGGCACCTTGACACGCTTTTTACAGCACGCTATCAGGTCCTTCAGAGGAAGGCCAGCAGGCCCGCAGGGGAAGAGACCTCAGGAGGGGAGGACTCTGGTTGGCTAAGGACTGGACTGGATGTGGAGCTGAGAACAGGGCAAGGGGCTTGATCAAGAGCACAGGGCCAACAGAAGCAGCATAGAGCCCCCCACCTTGGGGGAGAAATTGAATGCAGGTGTATCTTAATGCGTGACCCCCAATAACCAGCCTCCTATGGATAACACCGTGTTCACTTGGGGCTCAACCCTCGTGTTCCCTTTGTGTTCATCTCTGGGGTTTGTACTTTGACCTTTCACAAGCTGCTTAAAATCTAATCCTTTTCCATGGAAAACTTTATAGAAGGTTTAACGTCTCTCCCCCAGACCCCATCACAGCCCAAGCCCTGTACCTAGTGCAGCTTTTCATCCTGGTTGTAGTTATCACCTTAAATACATTCTCTCCCTTGAACTGAAGATTGCCTTGTTTGTCCAGATCAATATTGACCGAGGTCTTAACTCCCAAAAGAGAATTATTATCTGTTTGACTTGGTTAACTATTCTTAGCACAGTTGGGAAATTAAAAAATACTGCTAGCTGATTAGCTGCCTGGTTGCAGGACCGATTATAGTCCCACTTGGTGGTGTGTCCATCAAACCTGCCACTTTTAAGTGGGTCATTGACAGAGGGGACTGCTTGCTTCACATTGTCGTGTGGCTCCATGGAAAAAGCCAAGCACATGCTGAGTCCCTGCCCTTCCTTCTGCTGGTCTGGACCCAGTTCTGACCTCCCCTGCTTGTGTTTTCCTACTCTCCCCTTGTACAGAGACAGGGCAGGGCATTGTTCATGCACTGACCGACCTCAGCAGCCCCGGCATGACCTCAGGGAACGGAAATTCTGCCTCCAGCATCACCGGCACTGCCCCCCAGAATGGTGAGAATAAACCACCACAGGCCATTGTGAAACCCCAAATCCTGACGCATGTTATCGAAGGGTTTGTGATCCAGGAGGGGGCGGAGCCTTTCCCGGTACGGACTACTTCTTTTCCCCTCTTTTTTTTTTTTTTTTTTTTTT